CTTTTCTTCCTCTCATCTGGTCACCCCTATCATTCCCATCTTCCCTGCACACAGATGGCTCCTGCCCTTCCCCCCAGTACATAGCTGGCTGTAGGAGTGCAGCTCACATCTGGTTCCCACATACAGATGGCCCAGCTGCCTGCAGGCTCAGAGTGGTTCCCTCACAGCTACAGCCTCTCCCTGACCCTCATGCATGCAGCTCACTCTACGCTTTTACTGCCAGTTCCTACAGCTCCTGTCCCCCATGCTCTGTATAACACAGCTAGTGCTGAGCTCGCCACATTACTCAACAGCCGCTCCCCGCCTGCCTGCCCCAGAAAGTAACTCAGGTGCAGCAGCTCTCTCCCTTTTTCACATGTCTCCCTAGGCATTGGCTTCCTTACCTGCCCAGAGCAATCCCTGACACCAGCTGCGCTGGAGACTGACGGGGTTGGTGCTGTGAGAGCCAGAGCTGCAGCAGGTCCTGTCAGCGTACGCTGCCGACGTGCTCCTCATGGTCCAGGACCCAGGTGACCTGGCATGGGTGGAGACTTGCCAGGCCATCTACTCGGTAGCCTCTTTGACCTGGGTGAGCTGGGTCAAGAGCTCTGGCCTGGTGGTCAGGGATGGGTGGTAGGCGAGCTCCTTCCCACCCATGCTTCAGGCCATCTGGTGGCGCACAGGTCCGCTGCTCTATCTCGGTGTTTACTTACTTTTCTGCCACGCATCCATCTCCGCTGGAGAACTGGCAAGGTTTAGAGGGTAGGGTGGCAGAGTGGTTCCGGAGATGGACAGGACTACTCTGGTGCCTCTCCCTCTGAGGGAGGGCACTGGTGTTCAATCAGCTAGTCCTGTCCATGCTCTGGCACCAGCTCAACACCCTGGTCCCGGCCCCGGCTTCCTGGCCAACCTCCGGACATTGATTCTGGAGTTCTTCTGGGTTGGAGTGCACTGGGTCTCTGCAGGGGTCTTCCACCTGCCCCTGGAGGAGGGAGGACAGAGCCTGAAGTGCCTGCGCACTGAGGTCCACGTCTTTCGCTTCCAGGCCCTGCAGAGGCTCCTTTATGGTGCAAGTAGTCCGGCGTGGAGCATACTGGCGCACGCTTTCCTGTGCTGCTTCCGAGGGATCCGATACAACTGGCAGCTCCTTTATCTCCATCCAAGAGGTCTTCAACAAGACATGTCTGAGCCTCCAGTCTTCTACCAGGACCTCCTCCGGACCAGGAAACTGCTCTCAGTGACCAGGTCCGTGGCGGCCACTGAGGGTGGATCTCCTTGTGCAGCCCCTGCTACACAACCCCCAGCTCCATGTGCAGGTGGCGGAGTCGCCCTCGGTGTGCCAGAGGTTGATCCTGGCAGAAGTCACCAGAGTCTGAGACTGGCTGGATCCCTTGATGTTTGCTCGGTGCATGGGGCTCTCCAGCCCTCGTACTTCCCGGCGCGTACTTCAGGAGGTTAGGGCTGCTTTACCGCCTACTGCTCGGGCTTTCCTCGACCAGGTCCTGCGGGAGGGCACGCTCCACCACCCTACACCCCAGACCCTCTGGACCTTTTCATCGGGTCCCTGCCCCGTGGACCTACCCAGCCATCCCACCCCTTTACTTTGAGCCAGCTGCATGAATTACAGCCAGTTTGCTTCCAGACCGCGCCAAGAAAACATTTGTACATGCTCGGGCTCCACACTCTTCATGTCCTCATCCTTGTGTCCTGCCCCGGCCAGCCTATATTCCAACTTGGTCCCAAGGTCCACTGGCAACATCAGCTGGGGGCTCCTTCACGAAGCCGTGAGCACGGGCGTGTACTTGGCGCGGTTCACTCCCATCCCAGACACCTACCCCTTTTGTGGCACGAGGGAGACCCTGGCGCATGTATATCTGGAGTGCGCCAGGTTACAGCCCCTATTCCGGCTCCTCCTAGATATATTATTATGTTTTTGGTTGCACTTTTCCCTTCATCTTCTCATCTATGCACTCCCTATCCATGGCCTCACAAAGTCGCAGGACCTCCTTGTCAACCTCCTCCTAGCCCTGGCCAAAATGGCCATCTACAAAACCAGGGAGAGGAGATTGGCTGACGGGGTTTCCTGCAACTGTGGGGGCCTATTTCCACTGCTCAGTCCGTTCACGCATCCAGACAGAGTTCCTCAGGGCGGTGTCTGCTGGCTCTCTTGACAGCTTCGAAGATCAGTGGGCCCTGTCCAGGGTTCTCTGCTCGGTGTCCCCATCAGGTTCCCTTCAATTAGCCCTCACTCCCGTTCCTGTTATATCTTTAGTTGTCCCCTGCAGTCATTTGGAATCCTGGACCTGTGGATCCTCCCCTTAGGCTGCGAGGAGGTCCTTTAGCAGTGGGCGGGCAGAAGCTCGCCCACTTCCTGGATCTCAACAGGACCAGCTGCAGCAGTCTTTCCCTTGGATCTTAAAGTCTGACACTTGTGCTGCCAACGAGGTAGTTTCCAAGTTTCACAGTTGGTTGTAAACCTCCAGGGCTGGAGTACTTATGGAAAAAAATTTGTGGGTGTTTAGCATCCACTGGCAGCCAAGCTCCCCCCTTGCCCCCTGCGCCTCCTGTCCGCCAGCGGCCCCGCCAATCAACTCCTCCCCCTCCCTCCCAGCGCCTCCGGCATGCTGCGATCAGCTGGTTCAGTGGTGTGCAAGAGGTGCTGGGAGGGAGGGGAAGGAGTGGCAATGGGGCATGCTTGGGGGAGGGGGCAGTAGGGTGGGGCTTTGGGAGAAGGGATGGAGTGGGGGCAGGGCTGGGAGGCAGAGCAGGGGCAGGAAGAGGCAAGGATTGGACTTGGGGAAAGGGGTGGAGTTGAGGCAGGTCTGGGGCAGAGTGTGGGTTAAGCACCCCCCTCCCCCAGGTAGAGAGGCAGTCGGTCCCTATGTCAGGAGTAGCTCTCTTTTAGAATAGTGTCCATCTGCTATTACAAAGTATTGTAAAACATTACATCAAAAGTACCTCTAGAAATCAGACCCCTTTGTCTCTTGAGTACCTGCCCTGAACCCCACTGCATACCACCAGAATCTTTAAATTGTGCTCTCCCCCCATATCAGCAATTGCGAGTCCTCTCTGCTACAAGGGGTGAGGCAATTCTAGGTTTAGACCTAAATGGATCACAGGATCTGGTCCAAGAGGTTGAATATAGCTAAACCATAATTAAGCTTAACATTTTTGTAGGGGAGGAATACCAAAGAGACCCACCATGGTAGCATTTATACTTCAAAAAGAGCAACTACACAAAAATGAGGAGGCTAGTTAAATGGAAATTAAAAAGAACAGTCACAAGAGTGAAG